CATAGGCCAAGTTGTTGCTGGGCTTCAAAAAAATTATCTTGGTGGGGGATGGCCTCACTGGCCCCGTCTGGGCCTTAGACACAAGTGGTGCTCCCTTAGTCTGTGTGGCACGAGTTGAGCACGCTGCGGGCCAGGCCAAGCAGTGAATCCAAGCGCCACCCAGCCTCACTGGTCGGACCCTGTCCTGGGAGACAGAAACGAGGCTCAACAGAAACCGCTGCCAGGGCTGGGGCAGGGGATCCGGGCCACTGTGCCTGCCCTGCAGAAGCCCTGGGGCCTGACGGCTCTGCCCAGCCTTCCTCTCATGCCCAGCCCGCTACGGCAGCCATTGCATTCCCCCTGGGAGGGCCTGAGCCCCGAGGCCAGCGCCGTTGTCCGTCAGTCCCCTGGAGCTGGGAAGTGGAGTGGCCCTCTTCACCGTTGGTTATAGCTGCAGCACAGTGACTCGAGCCCTCAAGATTGTATCCAAGCAGGCGAATAAACTCCTTTTCACTTCTCTCTGCAAAGGCTTTATGTAATCTTTTGGTGCCAATGGGGCATCACGGAAAGTTTGATTTTCTCCAAGCTTCTGTCTGGCTGAGACACTCTCCACAGAGCACCTGAGAGCTGCGCCCAGTCGCCCGGTGCGTTGCCAGGTGTGCAGAAGAGCGGGCCTGGGGGCTAGCGAAGTCCTGCTGACTTGGAGGATGGGGGCGGAATGGTACAAAAGCACTTCATTTTCATGGCAGAAACATGAAAAGTTGCTGGTTTTGCAACTTTTTAATTTCTTTTTAAAAGTAGCTGGGGAAAAAAAAGTAGCTGGCTGTGGGGCTGCACACTCGTAATCCTAGCACTCAGGGAGGCGTGTGGAGGTGCCAGGAGCTCTTCTGTTATTATTTATTTATTTATTCATTGTTTCTTCATTGATTTATTTGTTACAGGGTCTCACTACGCAGCTCAAACTCCTAGTGATCCTCCTGTTTTCAGCCTCCCCAGCGCCAGCGCTGAGGTTATAGGCGTGTGTTCCTGCTCATTGCATCCCGGGGCAGGACTAGGATTTGAACCCTGGTCCCTGCACTTGCCAAAGCAGGTGCTTAGTCCACTGAGCTATCTTGCCAGCCTGTTAGTGACATTTTTAAAAGATTGTGTGTGTGTGTGTGTGCGCGTGCGTGCGTGCACGCGCGCGCATGCGCCAATGTATTGCCACACACAGGCTCACACAGTTCAGGTGCCGGTTGGTGGGCACACAGCAAGTATCCCAGACCTCCTGTGTGTCAACGAGGGGAGCTGAGAGTGCCCAGTTTTGGGGTGCTCTCTCACATCCCAGTTCCCAGCCCTGGTGGTGCTTTGTCTGCTTGCTGCCCCTGGAAACATGGAGGCCAGGGAGGGTGAGAGCCCACGCCCGTGACCTTTCGTGACCCAGAAGGTCCCAGCCAAGTGAGTCGGGGAGTGAGTGACCTTGCTCCTGGCTGCGGCAGTGCCCCTGCCGTGGCTTGGTGCTGCACAGCATGCATCCTTGCGGGCTGCTTCAGCTTCACAGAAGAGCTGGAAGGCAGGCTCTGCAGCTGCTGCTGGCTATGCACCCTTCTCCAGTTGCTCCCCGCGGAGATGAAGGTCACCAGTCAAATGCCGCAGGGAGCCTCAGGACCCTTCTCCTGCTCTGAGGGTCTGCCTCCCTTGGTCAGCCTCCATTGCGGATGGGGCAGCTCCATGCTTGGCAGTGGCCCTGCCCCACCTGCCTCAGCAGGCTTTAGGATGATTCTGGGAGCTGATGCGACAGTGCACGCCTGCAGTCCCAGTACTGTGGGAGGCGGAGGCAGCAGGAGTGTAAGTCCAAGTGCAGCCTGGGCAACTTAATGTGAGACTGTGTCCCAAAATCAAACACAAAAAAGTCCTGGGGATGTAGCTCAGTCGAAAGGTCTTGGTTTCAGTTCCCAGTACTCCAGGGAAAAAGATGAAGGGGCTGGGTAGGCACTGTGGACAGAAGGCCGGCGAGGGGCTGTACCTGCCCCAGCCACTTTCTTGGGAGCTCCCTGCTCTCATGAACCAGGTTTCCTCAAATCGCTGTGCTTTGGGAGTACAACAGAAGCTGGCCGGTGTGGGCAGAGTTGCGTCCCAGGCTCATCACATTACCTGTTCTGAGGGAGCAGCCTGTGCGATGGGACTTGGGTGGCAGGAGCTCAGGATGCTAGTGTCAGGCCACCTGCCACAAGGGCAGGAGCAAGGCATTGCGGGACCCCCCAAGTCGTTAGAGAGGGCTCCGGCGGGTGCAGTGGGACCTTGTGGGGCCAGGTTTGCGGGGCCATGGAGCCTCCCGGGAGCAGTGCAGAAAAGATGAGGGCAGTGATGGGGGGGCAGGGCCGTGGGAGGTGTGGTGTGCACCAGGGCAGGGGTTAGAAGCCTTTGCATAACGGGCTTCCCTGTTTGGGTGCACAGCAGCCCAGGAGATCACTGCTGGCCTGGAGGGGGCTGCCCGTGCACCTCTGCCCCACCCAGCCTGCACTTAGCTTCCATGTCCAGCTTGGGCCTCGGCAGGGAGCATGAGAGTGGCTGCCTGGGGAAGGTAAGACAGGCCCAGGCCAGGTGGCCCGTGCAGGTGGGCGGGAGCTGCGGTCCGGAGCCCCAGGTGGTCTCAGGGAGCCTGGCAGATGTGGACAGCACAGGCAGACAAGGGTGCGGGGTCTGTGGGTGCGACGCTTGTGGCCTTGGCAGCAGACAGGGTTCAAGTCTACACAGAGGATGCCTTCTCCTGCCAGCTGTAACAGCTGTGGAACCACGTTGTGAGGGCCAGGCGGGGAGTGCTCTCTGCCCACACCCTCAGGCACTGCTCCCTCTGCCCCCCGGGGTCGCCTGTGTTGAGCTCTCCTGTGTGCAGGGCTGTCCCCGTGCTCCCAGCTTCCCCTTCCCCAGGGTCTCTGTACTAGCTCCTCTTCCAGAGAAGCACGGTGGAGCTTTCTAGAAACTCACTTCGGGGTGCCTGCCTTCCTGCTATCTCTGGGCGCCTGAGGTTTTCAGTGGCCTTTAATTGCATAAGTCCTCGCCAGGGCAAAATCAGGAGTACTAAGGACTTGGAGCTCCTGAGAGCTCAAAGTTCATTTCTTGTAAAGATAAATAGAATTGCCTTGGGCTGTGAAGTCCTGCTGAAATGAATTGCAGTACAGCCACGCAGAAGCCCCTGAGCACCCCGAGGCCTTTGACAGTTCTTCTAACTTTATTTGCATGTAATTTTAAACTTAGCAAAAAATTGCATGAAAAAAGTTTTAAGAAACTTCCACACATTTTCCCTCCTTGTACACATATTTTCCTACTATCAGAAGAGCGAGTTGGAGATAACACGCCTCTTTGCCCTATCCATGCCAGTGTACTGTCTCAGAAATAACCACAGTGGGCACTTGTTACAGAAGCTCAGTGCCAAGCTCGGAACCAGCTAACTGAAACTTAACTCCAGGCTGTGTCCAAGCAAAGCCTAGACTTGAACTTTGTCCGCTGCCTAGGAACCCCTATAACCCTTTTTCTCTGAGAGGCTAGAACGTGGCCTGGGTAGCAAGTGCATCCGTGGGTCCCCTCATTTGTGGCACCCGAGACCCCATGGGGATGTCAGCACTGGTGGGGCGTGGACCTCTGCTGGGGGGCCTCCATGTGGCTGTCCTGAAGCCTGGGTGCTGCATCCCTGGTCACCAGTCGGCCTCAGACTGCTTCAGTGGGCAGGGCTGACTGTCCTCGTGGTGCCAGCCGGCTCACTGCCAGGCTGCTGCCTGAGGGCCTTCCTCCCCTCCACTTCCTCATTTGCATCCCTGGGCCTTAGCAATGGGCCACAATCCACTGCTCTTTTTTTTTTTTTTTTTTTTTTTTTTTTTTGGTGGAACTGGGAATTGAACTCAGGCCCTTACGTCCACTGCTCTTGTTACTTGATGATTACATTATGCTAGGTGCTGAGGGCCACTGGGCCTTGCGAGCCAGCGAAGTGCTGCTGTGCTGCTGCTCCCGGAGCTCCGACCCTGCCCAGCGTCCTCAGGAGCCCTGAAGGAGGCTCTTTGTCCAGTGCGTCCTGGAGCTTCACAGTTGTGCTAGCAGCGAGGATTTGTGTTCTCTGAAACGCTTGTGATAGGTTTTTCGGAGGCGCAGTAAAGAGACAAGAAGGAGAAAAGAAGCCTTTATGAGCTCCAAAGACAGGGGGAGGACCGCGGGCAGCTGGGGCAGGTGGATCCTCCGGCCGAGACCCAGGCAGCCGGGCTTCTCTGGACTTTGTTAGGGGTGGGGTCTGGGGAGGGTGTTGAGAAACAGCCGAGGAGCTGACTGGGTCGTCCCCGAGGTGGCGGCGGGAAAGGTGAAAGGAAACTGCACCCTGCGCCGCCGCCAGGTTGGAGAAGAAGCGGGGGGGGGGGGTCTCTGGGAGGGTAAGCTGTTGTTTTAGGGCTTCAGCCGTGTGAGATGACCACAGTGCAGCAGGTCATACTAGGGCCGAACCTATCCGCTTGGTTAGGTGTTTTTCAGAGAGAAGACCTTGTAACCAGCTCATAAATTTTCTTTTTATGTTACTTGAAGACTAAAATAGATCACACATATTTATTAAGAGGTTAAGCCCCTTAAATACTGTGTACCTCAGATTTCAACCTGTGGACCATGGGATGATGTCTCTTTGTAAAACAGAAAATGGAGGCTCAGAGAGGTTGACGTCCTGGTCCAGAGTGACGCAGCTAAGTGCGTGAGCCATGGTTCCCATGTAGCACAGCTCACTTGTTACAGTGCCCTGTGGTATCACGTAACACACTTCCTTATGCTAAATTGCCAGATGAATGACATCATGTGTGTAGCAGTTGAATGACATAAAGGTTATTTCTGGCTTATAGTCTTTATCCTAGTGAATAATTCTGCATGAAAATTGAGTCTGAAGAATTAAAGTATGTGCTCATCCTGTTGTCCCTCTCCAAGGAAAGTTGTTTTACCAGAATTAATTCAGCTCTCCTAGTGTTGCTTAAAATATCCAGAAGTTCCCTAACGCTCTTATTTTTTTCCTATAGGAATTTGCTTGCTAGAAAACAAAATGCAAGACTTGACAAACAAAATGACTTGGGATGGAAGTTATTTGGAAAAGTACCAGTCCGAGAGAATGCTCAGAGAGAGTCAAAGAAAATACACAAGGTACACCTGACGCAAGACAGAAACCTGCGGCCGTGTGGCGCCGCGCAGCTTGTGACCGCTGCACGGCTCTGCAGTCAGAAGGCCCGTGTTGTTTGCATGCCGAGTTCCTAAAACTTAAGTCTGTGTTGAGATGTAGATGAATTTAATGCTTTTCATTGCGTATAGCTTGTACCCCGCACACAGGAAAGCTGAGTCGACGGGGCCGGCGAGATAGCTCAGCAGACTAAAGCACCTGCTTAGGCAAGCGCAGGGACTGCGGCTTGATCCCGGCACCATATGCTGTGCCAGCCCCGCCCCCAGAGTTGGGGCGCAGTGGTGCACGCCTGAAATCCCAGTGCTGGGGAGGCCAAAAGCAGGAGGATCACCACGAGTCCCAGCTGCGTAGGGCGACGCTACAACAACAAGTACATTACAAGAAAGAAAGAAAAGAAGGAGAGTGAGTTGACAACACTGACCCCACTAGATACTTACAGCTTGCTTTATGTTCCTCATTCTTTTGAATAACAATCATAGATGCTCATTTTTCATCAAACTTTTATTGCGCTTGATATGAAAGCATTCTACCACAGGGGGTTTCAGTCCTTCTGGTGCTGCTCTGGAACAGGCTCTGATAGGGCCCCCACCACTGTAAAGTTGCCCAGTATGGAGGGGTTCAGGATCAGGTTACGCTGTCTTGACCCTCATAGGGGGCTCACGCCAGTGGCTTGCAGAGGGCGACAAGCGCAGGGACACGGAACACCCGTGACTGGCTGATTGTGTCTGTAAAAATGGGGCGGGCAGGCCCGGAAGCCCTGATCCTAGTGCCTGTGCTTGGCCTCCCCTCCCCAGCCTTCCTCCTGCCCTTGGGTTTCTACTCCGTGATGTGGTTCAGACCTCAGATGGCCCTGGGGGTGGAGGAGGAACCTGGGGCGGGGGGCTGGCGAGGAGGCCTTCTTGGCAGGTGGCACAGGCGCCTGCCTTCATCCATGTGTCTAGCCCATTGACGACCCTCAGTGGCTGGGAGAGATCCACTGTTCCCCCCCCTTACCAAAGACACCTTAAGGCTCGGGCAAGTGCTTGTGTGGGGTCGCACAGCTAGGAAGCAGCAGAGGGGGGCCAGCAGTCTGGCGGGACCTCACTGCAGGGAGCGGGACAGCGTGCCTAGCGCCTGTGGCGGAGCCCTGGGCCTGGCTGCTGGGTGGCCTCTCCAAGCTGCAGGCTTTGTTGCTGGCTGTGTGCAGAGGTAGAAGTGGGTGAGATGTAGGCTTATTTAATCAGTATACAGGAAAGTATCAAAATAGGATACGTTTGTATGCTAAGCTCAATCACAAATTTTTTAGCAGTCTTAAGTAGCTCTTCTGTTGTAAAGTTTTTAAAGAAATCACTTTAAGTAATAATTGTATTACATTGGTGTTCTAATAACTCGTAGTATCACTTGTATCTGAATTTCTTTAGTATCATGGTGGTTTTTTTTTTTTTTTTTTTTAAGTTTTACACTTTTTCTCTTCTTTCTTTCTTACTCATTTCTTACTTT